CTTGTCCAATCGGAAGTGACGCTTCTATGTTGGATTTACTCGGAAGTGACGAGGTGGAATGACGTCATGTATAGTTTCGTTTTAATTGTGTGGCAACAATCGTAGGTTTCCAAAATTTTTTTGTAGCAACGACCGTATTTTTTCAAATTTTTATTATTTGTGGCAACAACATTTTTTTTTTGGTTTGTGGCAACGATTTCATGAATCACGTGTTTGAGATGACATCACCAGTTTCTTGTTTGGTTATCTTCCAAAATGGCATCTACCGTATCACGACTTTGTATGCCTCCACTTTGATGTATGGATACATTTCTGTGGACCAATCAGATTCTTTGAAACGAGGACCAAGGAAGGGTTCTATTACGGGGCTCTAAAGTAGCTTATCCCCAATCGTCACGAATTAGCTTTATCGCCAAAGAGGTGCGGAAAAGGTAAATTGTGCCAAATATAATTAACAAAAGAGCACGCCTCCACAGTTAAAAAGTGTAAAAACACCGAAGACTTAATTTAGTATTTGGCGTCGATAAGGCCAAATCATTTGGAGGGTGACATCATGACTTTTGAAAAGCATCATGTTTCTTTTGATCAATGGTCAGTGGTGTTACCACACGAGAGCGGAAACACTGCGAAAAACTTATGTCGTAAGGCTTGGTCTGGGGGTCGAGTAAAAAGACGGGGAGGCGATTATAATACGAAATAAAATCAATATATTTTAATTAGTTACTAATTTTATAAATAAAATTCTTATATTATTATTTCTATTAAATAACTGCCATTACCATAATATATTTGTCATGAAATAATCACCTTATACTTGAAGATGTTATAATAGGTAGAACAGTATTGCCATAGGAGTCGTAATGGGCCACCCCTCCCCCGGTAATTTAAGTGGTTGCGCCTATGCTAGGTATTGGTTGTGCTGCTCACATCGCTCACAATCCAAACAACAGGGGATTGCTTGCAAATTTATGTGGAAGCAGCTGTTATAAAAAATTATTATTATTTCTATAACTGTTACTGTTCAGTCATTCAAAAAATATTGTGACTTTGCCTGTGTAGAGTACCAGTGCATTTTAGGATAATGGAAAACTAGATTTTTATCACTGATGCCTACAGTAGAGAGAGTTTTAAAATTGTATAGTAGAGAAAGTTTTAAAATTGTACAGTAGAGAGAGCATAGGAAGTATCTTCTGAACTGGATTTATTACATAAATGTACTGAGAGGAGTGGAAAAAAACTTTTTGCCCAATGAAGTGAGCGGATACCAAGGAGAAAAGGAGAGGGTGAGAAAAATGACGTTAAGAACATGAATTTTACGACAACTGTCGAATTCTGAAAGAGAGGCTAAATGCATTTAGTTGGGTTGCGTTAAAGGAGCTATCATTGTGGGAAAAATTACAAGGGACCGTGCAACTTTTTGGGTGGAAGATTCCGAAGGATGACAACGATGATAAAGAGTTATTTGACAAAGCAAGTTACATTAGGCAATTTACTTCACCACAAAAGATTTCAGATTGGAATTGTCAGAAAACTAGTGTCGATGGACTGAAATTTTTCGTCATTTCTAGGATAAAAACATGCCATGTGCTCAAATCCATAAAATTGTGGCATTTTTGTTGTTTTCCAGGGACAAGCACTGCCAGTAAAAGGGGTTTTCTCCTGTATGAATATCATATGGACAACTGAAAAGACACAATTAAAACTGGAAACACTACAAGCAATGTTAATGGTGAAGTGCAATTTTAAGTTTGACAGTTCCTGTGAATGTCTATGAGAGACTTTTACAAGAACCAAAACTTCTTAGAAACATTCATTTGCCAATGAAATACATGTACAGAGCATCTACACAGGATGATCCTTCTAGGTCAGCGGCTGATCCGGAAGCCCATTGTCCGCATAGAATTAAAACATTTGTGCCGTCATGTGCTGGATGGACACAATCAAGCAGTAAGGTAGGTAGGAAGTTACAAACTTTTATTTTCCCGACTGCTATTTTTTATGCTTTGCCTTCACTCTTACTGGAAGCGCGTCTGAGTCCAGATACCAAAGTCTGTGATTGTTGATTTAAATGTTTGATTCAGTCTGAGATATGGATAAATTCTAATTTTTCTCTCAATAACAGAGTTTGTTTAACACACAGGTAATTATCAAATGATGGGTAATTCTTTACAGGACAATGTGACATCAATAAAAATTTTGCACTCCGTATTTTCACCTTCGAGGGGGGGGGGCTTCCGCCCTCTTCTATTACCTGAATTTCGATCCCTACGTCCCGCTTTGGTGTCCGGAAAATCTGGTCACCTTACTATCTGACAAGACGTGGAGTGAATTTTAAGCCATGGTGTTTGAATGTTCTCGCAGCCAACATCACAGTGGAAGAACAAGACCTGCTTACACTGAATCTGGAATTGCCCAAAAACTTTGTGGTCACGTATAAAAATTCCCACTTCACTCTGAAACAACTCTCTGCTCAAGATAAAAAACGTAACCTCAGCATTACGACTACGCGCACTGGGAAGAGCTGATGACAAACTTTAGCCATATCAGTGATATTGTCACTAACCTCGTTAATCAAAACATGAACTTTTATGAAGCTAGCGAAAGCATATCTGATGAACCTATCAATGAAGAAAATCTTCAGAATCCTTCGACATTGCTATGGAAAAAGCACGCCTCCAAACCATTCTAAAGGCATTATTGAAGAACTTGAAAAACCATAATTATAATATTCCAAACTCATAGACTGTGAAGAACTTGTTCATAAAACAGAAACTGTGAATCACGTTGCTCTGAGGTTAAATGCTGTTGACATCGCCAGACAATTTTACGGAAATATTTGGGGTGAAAAATACTCTTTAATGTTAATGAAACCTGCTCATTACAATACCAAGAACTTTTTAAAATCTGTGTGTTTAAACCATGTTCTCAACGAAGTAAGAAACACACATGGTGTCTTAGGTATTGAATACTATGGATATTTGTAAAAAAATTTTGATGCTCAATAAAATGTTATTTTATATTACAATGATCTCATGACTGTCTCCAGGTTCAGACATTATTTAAAAGAAAAAATAACATTTAATTTGCCATTATCACTTACACAATATTTTAAAAACGCCTATTTATATTTTTATAGAGTATAAATAATTTTGTTCTTAAAAATATATATGATTTCTTGTTCAACCTTTGAGATGTTAAGTAGAATTCATTTTCTCTCTCTTGTACATGTGTTAAACATATCTGTACAATTTTTATCTAACCAAGTTATTAGAAACTCTCGTATTAATTCTCTGTTCTAGTTAAACATACATATAAATTTATATGGGTGTATGTTTAGATCATAACAACTGTTGCAATGAACGCAGCTCTGGCTTAGACCTATCAGAATCACATGTCTCCAGAAGTTTTCGGGGTGTTGCTGCTTTGCATCGAGCTTTAAAAGGTCACATAAAAACAAAAGGCATACACAAATGGCTGCAAACTCAGGATTCTTATACTTGCACAAGCCTTTGAGGCACAAATTTCCCAGGAACAGAGTCACTGTAGGTGGCTTAAACAAGCAATTTCACTCCGATTTAGTGCATATGTAATCCCTGGCCTCTTTTAATGATGGATACAAATATTTGTTGACCTGTATAGATATCCTTTCCAAATACGCTTGGGCTATCCCTCTCAAAGATAAAACATCTGCATCCATCAAATCTGCTTTTGAAGAGATATTTTCGGAATGTACACCTGAATCTTTACAAACAGATGTTAAAATTCAATGTAACAGAAGAATTTTATTTATTTATATATTTTTCCAAATTTTAAAGTATTTTCAAAGCATTCAAAGTAACATTTTTATTTACATTTCTTCAGGATAAAAGTTTTATTATTTAATTTAAAACACTCACTATTATTATTATTATTTTTGTGAATGGTGGGTACTTGCCCTTAATGGCATTGGCCACTCTTAAGGCCAGAAGTGGTGGCCATTTTATTATGTAGGCAAGGCGGTCACCGTTACCTCCTATGAAGGGACAGACAATTATCCATGCCTTCTCCGGGATTCGAACCTGGGCCCTTTGGTATCGCAGTGAAACTCCCCTAACCACTATACCGTCTGGGTGGCTAAAACACTCATTATCATATGAACAATTCAATATGTTTATTTTGGTGCACTCAAAAACAGTCTAATTCCGCTTCAGGTATAACAAATTATAACTTAATACAGAATTATAATTTTTATTTCAAACATTTATTCTCAAATGAAAGAGTGATAATACAAAATTCATTTATCAAACTACAGCTTTTTAAATTGGGCATCTACAAAATGTCTTCTGGAGATTTTTGAGTTATTACTTTTTTAATCCATTCATTTACAAAACTTATGTCAACAAATGCTCAAATACATAACCTTTCTTGAAATCAGGATTTTATGATTTATAAAAAACTTTAACATCTATTTCTTTTCAGGTACAATATCTCCCAGCCACTTTAAGTACTGAGGGTTTCCATGCTGTATCTAGAATATAGGGGAGAAATATAATACATATATGCATATGTAGTAAAGTTTCCCAAACTTACATACAATGATAATTAAATACAAAATATTACATAATTTTAAACATTCTTAAAGTATTAGAAAAGTTAAACTTATAGCTCTGTTAGGATTTAACAACATTACAGACATATCAACACTAAATGCTCAATTTGTATTTTCTTAAACAGAATCTAATAATTCTTAAAAATAATATAAATAATCCTATTTTAACCAACTTAACAACTGTTATTTTAAGACTTTATCATACTTTAAATAAAATAAGAATTCTGGGAAGTGCAGCTTACAGTATTATTTTTGAATTTGGAAATGATTTCCGATAAAAATTTTATTCATTTTGAATTAAAACTGTGTTATTGGACTACTAATTATCAAAATTAGTTGCGAAAACTACAACTTTTTATAAATCAACAAAAAATAAATGAAAGTTACTCAACATTTTTAAGTAGTATCTTCTAAAGTAGTAAATACTTTATTTACCTAGATAATAAAAACATATCGCATATAACACAAATATTATTCCTCTGGGTTAATCAGAAATGCACGCTACATACTTTAATTAATCCTGAACACAATTTTATGTTAATTATCATCAAAATACAAATCTTAATAATCAGATAGTATACTAAAATTTATCTTACAGGAAAAAAAGGTTCTATCTTAAGAGATAAGAACAACAATGTACAGAGATGGAGGAAACACCTCCATGAACTGCTAAATTCTGATTTGTTTACAGAGAATAGCGAAATAACAAGCAGAAACCTAGGGCCTATCTCTTTTCTCTGGAAAAGGTTAATCATGCTATGAAGAAATTAAAAAATAATAAATCTCCTGGGTCAGACAATATTCCTTCAGAATTATTAAAAGCTGCAAGACCTAGTTGCATTTTACTAATCAAGGCCTTAATTCAACTCATTTGGAATTATGAGACACTTCCAATGGAATGAAAATTTAATACCATGTGCTTGATATATATATATAAAAAAGAGAGATTTGCTTGATTGCAGTATTTGTAAAGGTTTGGTTTATTTATTTATGGTAAAGCACATTATGGCTATCTGCCTAAGGGCAGATACTTCATGGAGGACTTTCCAAGGGAAACTGACTCATGCATGTTACACATGGGGAAAACCATGAAAACGCCCATGCAGCTAGCCCATTCACAGGATTCAAACCTCGGACCAAACTACCAGTGTTCAGTGACTTTACTGCTCGGCCGCTGGTGAGCAGTATTTCTAAAGGAATTACTCTTCTGAACACATCCTATAAAATACTTTCAACTATTCTTTTTAACAGACTTTTACTTTATGCTGATATCACGATCAGCGATTATCAATGCAGCTTTAGGATGAGAAGATTGACTATTGAGCAAATTTTTGAAAAATGCAGAGAATTTAGAATCATAACACAAAATCGTTTTATTGATTTCAGAACTGCATATGATTACATTAATAGGGAATTACTAATTGGGGCTATGCATGAACTAAATATTTTAAAAAAACGTGTTGCGCTGAAGGCTTCGATTCTTAAACCTTTCTGTTAACAAAAATAAAACTAAATATGTGCTTTGTTTAAAATCTGACTTTTAGTCACTTGGAAATTAGTAACTTCAAATTTGAAAAAGTTTGGGTGCTGACTTTACGTCATAAGAAAGCTTTGGAGATTTTTGAGAGAAGGATACTGCATTACATGCTTGTTGATGTCCTTGTTAATGGATCGTAGAGAAGAAGATCTAATTTAGAGCTATATAATATCTATAGACAACTTGATGTAGTAAAATTCTTCAAACTACATAGACTTAAATGGGTTGGTCATGCATGAAGATCAAGGTTGTACGAAAATCTTTCTGGCAAAGAAAGCTCACTGTTTTCGAGGTAGAACTGATGATCAATTAGATGAACGATGTATCGATTTTGCTGAAAATGACCTAAACATTTTATAGGTAAAAAACTTGAAAAGAGTTGCCGAAAGCAGAGATGCCTGGAGAAGGCTAGAGCCTACCCTGGGCTGTTGAGCCAATGAAGAGAAGAAATGTGAGGTTAGTCTGTTAAGGGTGGTCATATACCACATTAAAAATAAATTTGTTGCTAAACAAGGTAGACTGTTTTCCTGTCATCTTTAAATGTATATAAATTTGACTTTCAATTCTATATTTTGAGGTTAATTAATGGGAACATTTTAGTAATTTATGTTACATAATGTTTTTGTATAAATTGTTTTTAATCATTTTTTAGCATGTGATAGTTAAGTTTTGCTTTCAACTTTGACAAGAAGTATAAATTTTAAGTCAATATATTAAGTATGTGTACTGAACAACCCTATGATATAGGCTGAATTTTTTTAAAAATATTTTTTTCATTTTTGCAATCACTGCTGCATCACTGGTTACAAAATTATAAATTTTACATTTAAATTTAACTTTTTAATGACATCAACAGCATGAATAAGTGAATTTTCCTTTTGTATGTGATTTTTAATGCTATATCAAGAGTTTCAATGAAATATGCAGTTCCATCTATTGCACATTGGTGGATTGTGAACATTCAATGAGCTAACATCGCACATACTGCTTGATTAACTAAAATAATTCTGCATTTCTTCGTTTGTTCTCTCTTTATATATATACATATATTATTTAATAATTTACCACTTATGTAACTTTTAGATGAAGCTATCCAGAATGCAACACATCCACTAATTTTACTAAAAGAAGAATTTTTATACTATGAAATTTATAGTATTAAAAAAGTTACCTACCTATTGATTTATTTTAGATTTTTGAGATTTTTTCACAACATTTACTTAAATTGTACAACATGTGTTTTGAATCAGTGCACTCATTGTGAAATTTATGTTTGAGACTAGATGGGCATGGATGGGACACACTTTCTTCAATAATATAAAAATAGCTTGTTAAAAATATTTTCCACAATTTTACTTTTTTAATTTTTTTTTTTTTTTTTTGTGTGTGTGTGATTGTGTGTGTGTGTGCATGATTTTTGTCTTGTTTTAGAGGAGTTAATCTTCTCTGAACATTCTATAAAATACTTTTAATTATTCTTTTTAACTGACTTTTACCCTACATTGATAACACAATTGGTGATTATTAATGCGGCTTTAGAAAGGGAAGATCGACTACTAAGTAAAATCTCTTCATATAAGCATAAGAGCATTAAATGTTATCTTAATCTTTGATTCTAACACGCTTCTCATTATTTAAAAAAGAACATGAGAGAACATCTGATTTTAATCAATAATTTTTTAAACAACCTGCTCATTAAATGATTAAAATTACTGTAATTAAAATTGTAGACACTCTATTTGTTCAAACACTTAAAACGTGAACTGTTAATTTATTAAATGCAGTATTGTAAAATATTACTAGAAATAAAATTTACAGCTATTTTGAAGGGAAAATCACTTACAGGAGTAGATATCACCTCACATACTTGATAAGGATGATTTTCTCTTTAAAAAGTAAAAATATGCATTATATATCAATTAATAATAAACCTACATAAAATCATTGACAATTAATAATAAACTCACACAATATACATGCAATTACATCAATTTCACAAGTTAACTGCTTTTTTTAATATAACCCATATATTTTGTAAATCTAAAATTTTCACACATGAAATTCTGACATATAACATTTCCCTTTCCCTAAAAAAACACTTTTAATTCCAGCAGAATTTTCCCTTCATTTAAACCTTTGAATAGGGGCCTAATGTATTTATTTATCTTGTGGCAGTCTGATGTTCAGCTGTGTGCGACGCCAGACCACGTCATATTGTGTACATAAAAACTGCCAGTGCGACAGTGAACTCGCCCACTTCACCTTTAGGCTCCGTAGCATGTACAAATTTTTGTGTAGAAGTTTTCTGTTATGTTATGATAATTGTACTAAAAATATGGTTTGTGTGAATAAAGTTATGTTTAGTGAAGTGGAGTCATGTCTTTGAAGGATATACATCGAGCCATAACCCATGCACCATAAATTGCCGACCCATCCACACGCATGAGGCTTCATATTGGTTGTTCGTACAGGACATTTGTGTTTTTCCCTACAGCCACTGACATGGAGGAAACAGCAGCTTTTAAGATACCAATTTACAATCCTATTGACCCGGCACTGTGGTTTGCTATGTGCGAATCAACTTTTGCTTTAGCCACACCCAAGCCTGTTACGGATCCAAAGACGAAATTCAACTACTGCGCCGTTCATTTGCTACCGGAGATTGCTTCATTGGTTTGAGATATCATACTTCAAGAATGCACAGCTTCTTCTCACGAAGACCTCAAAGCTGCCATTACTGAACAATGTGGAGAAAGCAGTACCAATGAAATGCGGAAATTACTCGTCGGCGAGCAACTTGAAGACAGAAAGCCATCAGAATTGCTTCGTGTCATGATAAGGCGTGCTCAAAAACACAATGTGTCTGACTCATTGTTACTAGAATTATTCCTTCAGCAAATGCCGCAAACGTCCAATCTATCTTAGCGTCGGTTAAGCCATTCGATTCGTCAAAAGCTGCCAGCATTGCTGATAGAATATTGTAAGTTACACCTACTCAGGTAAGTGCAGTTACTTCACCTGTATCTGTCAATGTATCTAATAATTCTAAATTCGATTCCCTACCGGATGAGGTCGGCAAATTACATGGTGAGGTTTTGTCTTGATGACAATCCCGCAGTGTTTCCCCAAAATCGCTATAACAGGAAGCGAAGCCCTTCAGCTAAAGCTTCTTCGAATTGTTCCTATTTCTCGCATCATCTCAAATTTAGCGATAAAGCTAAAACGTGTGTTCCACCATGTACGTTACAGGGAAATGAACCAGAGAAAGTGTAATGGCAACTTGCACTTTACACTCTGAGTCTTGTCGCCTTTTTATTAGAGACAGAAAATCAAATAAAATATTTCTGTGCAACACTGGCTCAGATGTCAGTCTCCTTTCAGCAATCAAATATGAAGCGCCTATTAGATGTTATTTGAGACACCTATTAGGATGTTTTCTGCAACTAACGGTACTCCTATTCGGGTTTTACGGACAAAAATCTGTAAGTATTGACCTTGGATTTCGTCGTAGTTTTAATTTTACTTTTTATGTGTGTAGAGTGTCAACAAATATTACTGTATTTGATTTTTTGCATTATTTTGATTTATTATCTGATTTAAGGAACAAAATGATTGTTGATTTAAAAATTCATTTAAAAATTAATTGCAGTGTAATTAACACACATTTGTATTCTGTTAAAACAATTATTACAAATTGTGCTTATAATAAATTACTGTCTAACTATCCTTCACTTTTGAAGCTTCCTGATCTTAATGAGACTCTTAAGCATGACTATGCATTGAAACTATTGGTCCTCCTGGTTTCATGTAAGCCCAGGAGACTAGCTCCATATAGATTAAAAATTGCTAAGCATGAAGTTAAAAACATGATCAATTTAGGTCACATGCGACTCTCCAAAAGTAATCACTTCTCTCCTCTTCACATGGTGTCAAAGAAAGGCACAAATGAAGACAAATGAAGACCTGTAGGAGATTTTTGGAGAAATAAACGCTCAGACAGTGAAGGATAAGTATCCTATTCCCAACATTTGTGATTTTGCAGCAGAGTTGCATGAGCAAAGGTATTTTCTCGATTGTACTTGGTTAACCCATTAGCCGCTGGTGTTGGGTTAACGCAATGGTTAAAATAAATGCTTATATAAATATAACTACCTAAGATATTTTATAACAGCAGATGATTTTGTGTAGGGAATATTATGAAGATTATTTCTTGTAAAAAATATTTGCCTTCAACAATCATTTTGTTTATAATAATTGACCTCATACTTTAAACAAAATTTTTGACCGGGTATTTTTGTTGAAAATATTTAACGAAAGAATCAGAATCGTAGTCTTTATGAGTGATCTATTTTTACTCAAGGTCACCGTTTATCAGAGCATAACATCAGTCAGATGTTTATATTTGTGTTCGGAAGGGAGGAAAAACAGGTGTTGCGCTGACGTAACGTCAGCAGGAAACGGGTAGTTAATCTCTTTTTTCATCTATTCCTTTCGATGTTTTGGTTCATGTTCTGGTTGTTTAAAAATGCCTAGAATGAGGTATCATACATTAGAAGAAGCCCTTCAAAGCTTTTTTTGATGAAGAAACAGATGATGATAATGTTAATTGACCAGAATGAAACTGATATTGTTGTTGTTTCCCCAGAAATTGCAGAAAAAGTGACGAGAAGAAAGAATGGCAATTTTTTAAATAATATTATGATATTTTTACCAAATGATACTGCTGGGGAAGTTGAAATTCACATAAGAAGGTTTTCAGCCTTCTAAAAGCATTATAGTCATACTAAAGTTTAAAAAGCAGAAGACTGAAATCTTGATGGTATGGTTATTGAGATTACAGCAAAGCACATAGGATCTGCCTAGGGGAGGGGTGCCTTCATGGAGACTTTTTTTTAACTGGGCCTCATATACAGTTCCCATGGGAAAACCCAAAAACGCCCATGCAGCCAGCAGTTCGGGGATTCGAAACCTCGAACCGACTACCAGTGTTCAGTGACTTTACCGCTCGGCTGCTGGTGGGGCTCTGAAAACTTGAAATGGATAAAAAGGGAACCGTCAGTTATGTCTCAGGAAGAAAATAAGAAAAGAGATAGAAGAGAAACTATAAAAGACAAAATACAAGGTAAAAGTACTGGAGAGATTTTCGATTTTCTTTTTGGTATAGACATTTATTCTCTTCTCGTAGAACGGACAAATATACATGCTCAGCAAAAAAAATCTCCCACAATTTATTGTATCTGAAGCCTACATGGAAAGATTTATCGGAATATTATTGCTTACGGGATATCATTCTTTACCTGAAGAAATGTTTTGGTCACTTGATAAGGACATTTCTGTTCCTATTATACGAGAATAAATATTATGTTTGCAGTACAGGAATATGAAGCAGAATTTGCATTGACACTACTGATATTATAGAGTGAGACCGTATCTAAACTTACTAAAATCCCCACTTTTTTCTACTGGAAATTAAAGTCCTTTAGATGCAGACCGAGAATGCATTATTCCTTTGCAACTCCTATTGAAGTGTAGATTATCCCGAATAGATCAGCAACAGAAACTAGAAATGCCGCATTCAAAACCGGTTCATGGATATGGTAGACATTTTTGTAACGTCCGTTGATAACAAACTTTGTTGTAAGAGTACCATACCAGACATTATAAATGCAAAGTATTAATTAGCTTTCCTCATGATTGTAATCAATGTTTCATGCTGTCTTCAATGAATAATCTGCATTTGTAAAGAAATACATGTATATTTAATTAATTATACAATAAGTGATTGTAATTTATTAAACTTATACTGCTAAAGTAAGCCTGCGCTCACTCAAAAACATCACACGAGTCAAGCCTACTCACTAAACAACATGCTTATCTCCGCGTTGCGCGAACGCAACACTCGCTTTTTCGACAGGTAAGAGCATTTTTTAAAATTTTCCATGTAATTTATGTTATAAATCTTAATTTATATTTGTTATTATTTTCATGAGAAAAGAAACATTCCTTGTAGTTTTGGTGGTTAATGGGTTAAAGCCTATCATCAAATTCCAATTAATCCCTCTAATATTCATAAAATGGCTATTGCTACTCTTTTCGGACTTTTTGAGAGCACAAGAACGCAGTTTGGACTATGCAGCGCAGCTGCAACCTTTCAATGCTTTATTGATGAAGTAACCGGTGAGCTGTCAGGAAGGAGTATTTGCTTTTGTCAACGATACATTGACTGCGTCAAAGGATGAAACTGAGCATTTGATACACTTGAAAGCTCTTTTTGAAAGATTAAGTAATTATGGGTTAAGAATTAATGTATCTATATGCAATTTTGGTTTAACATCTTTGGAGTTTTGGGTTTTCACATATTGGAACAGGGTTTAAAACCTTTACCTGATAGGGTAGAAGCCATTAAAAAATTTCCCAAACCAAACACCTTAACTCAGTTAAGGAAATTTCTCGACATATTTAACTTTTACAGATGTTTTGTCCCAAGCGCTTCACATGTTGTTAGCTCCCTTGAATACGTTATTGGAAGGCCGCATTAATAAAAGGAAAACTTGACAACCAAGAAAAACAAAAGAATACCCTCTCGAATGGGACGAGAAAGCAGATAAAGCATTCGCCAGCACAAAAATGGCAATTGCTGAGGCAATTCTTCTCAGACACCCTTCCTGGTGCAAACATGAAACTTTGTACTGATCCATTAGACGTTGCGGTTGGTAGCTCATTAATGAAATTACATAATTCAGTTTGGGAACCCATTGCATTTCTATCTGTTAAACTCAGCAAAAGTCAAAGGAAATGGTCAACTTATGATCGAGAACTATTGGTTCTTGATCAAATATATTGATATTTATAAATATATTGATATTTAATTTTATTTTTGTAACTTTCTTACACTTTTGTCCCAAGATAATCCTGAGAAGGAAAGGAAAGCTTTAATCTATCTCAATGTACTTTTAAACACAATGAAAATGAAAATAAAATATTAACTATTAATATACCTACTTTTGTGCGGATAAAATTAGCAACGTACCATATACTGATGTAAAACAAAATTAAATGCACATATTAACTGATTAAACATGGTTGAATCTTCATATAAAATTCTACAGATCTCTACTGTAGATTAAAACAATTCAGATCAAATAAAATTTCACTAAAAAAAATAATGTTGAAAATCACTATAAGTGATAGGGGTATATTTCCACAAATAAAGTTTCCTTAATTCAGTAAATTTAATTTATTGCTAAAAAAACACTTTTTAAAAGAAAAGAATTAAAAAGAGGGAGATTTGGAGACCTACTAGAAGAAGACCAAGAGATGTGACGTAAAATCAAATGTGGGCAGCCATACTAGGTTCATAAGAAAGTTCTGGTGCATATGATTTGATCTGGAAAATTTATTATAAAAATAATTCATATATGAATTACTTAAAAATAAGAAATTATTTGTGTACTATGAGTATGTATTGCAAACACCTACCTTGTTCTTTAAGAATTATGGAGATAATTTGCAGTCTGATGTTATTACTCAAAATTATGCTTTGCTTAGCAATACAGATACACTCAAGTAAAGTTGCCTATTTGAAATTTACTACTGAACACAATTTACTGTTATGTAAAATTTACCAAAAATCAACCCTGAAGTACAGAATAATAATTATACTTTTTCTAATCTCAATATATATAAAAAACATGAGTGTGCATTATGATTGTAAAACTCTAATCATACACTACAAAGATATGTGCTAACCAGGCAGGTTATTTTATTCTTGCAGTATTTTGTAACTTTTTATCAGTTACGGTCACACTAAAATACATTTAAAAATATCTGCAGTCCAGATACCCAGGTAAACTGTAATACATATGATTATTGCTTGAGTGTAGAGCAAGTTTGATACACTTGCAATCCTAGCATATTAGAAAAGTATTAGCAAATTGATATGTAATTCAAATTAGAAAAGAATCATGCCAATGTAAAATTTAAAATTAGACAAAACTGCAATCATATTTTGGTGTAGATTTTGAATTTTTATTCAAAGGTTTTAGTTCATAGCTTTATTCAAAACCTACACCAAAATAAAGCTGCTCTTTTGCCTAATTTTAAATTATATCTATTTATTTTACATTTTATTTTCATATCTCAATGAAATTTTTTATTCATTCTGAGAAATACATTTTATGATTAAAAAACTGAATACAACAGCATTTCAAAAATAATTAGCAGCTTTATAAAATTATTACCTTATATATTTAGTCATCTCATCTAACCTTGAAGTCCTGGTTTTGATTACCTAAAAAAGAAAACTCCTGTTGTGATTTAATATATTTTTCACTTTTATTTGCAGTAACTGTATTTCTGCATTTTAAATATTATGTATTGAACAGCTAGACATGCCAAATTTAATAAATAGTTAAAAATGTAGATATTTATATAAGATTCAAATATGGCCTAAAATAAATTGAACATTATATACAATACAGCCTCTATCAGGGTTCATAGCCACATTTTAGTTAAAAAAAATAAGCACCTACAAGAACTTTTCAAGCACATTTTAAGGAAAAAATAAGCACCTGTCTAATTACATTATACACAACTGCATAACCTTAAAAGAAAAATTAAGACTTGTAATTTAAAATATAAGCAATGCAATATTTATTAAGAAAATGAGCATTACTTCAACCATGGAAAACAATTAATTTTTTTTTTTTTTAAATTTTAAATGACAGTTCAATTTACAGAATTAGTTTACAATGAGAAGAAAAAAACTATGCAGAACTAAACTATATTACAAGATTTAATGATGAAATTTCAGTTCAAAATATAGAAAATAAATAATAATAAGCCATATTAATTGTATTCGTTTGGCACCTAATAAAAATACAATTTATTTTTCCACTCATATTAATATTTTAAATAAATAAACTTAAATCAAAATCTGAACAATTCTAAATTTTCATTGCATAACGTTTTCCCTTAACATATATTCCAAGCAAGTAATTTAAGTAAAAAAGAGGGCACATTTCTGAAATTAGAAGACGGGATCATGCACCCCCTTTTAACAGTAAAGCTTAACTAACCCCTACTCGGAAATGCCAAATATTCCGGATAGTAACTGGAAAAAGAGGAGTGGGGGAGATAGTAGTCGTTCTTTAGATTTCTCCGCTAAATAAATGATTTTGACATTTCGATATGTGCATCATATAAAAACAAACCAACGAAACTGAGAAATATTCTGCTTAGAAAGCACAGAAAAACTCTTTTAAGTGTTCATAAACAAATCTCAGACTGAACATCAAAATTAATGATCTCTGCAAAATACCGCAAACGTCATTTCGCAATATGTGCGGCGTAATTTTTCCACATGTGATATTACGCAATCGGAATCAACAGCTGCCGGTATTCGGAGAATAAAGAACTAAATAAAGGAAAAGAAAGAGACTTACTAATTTGGGGTGTTTCTACGTTTCAACAGACTGCGTTAAATTTCCGGAATAGAATCAATCTTCGTGTTGCATAATCGAGAAAATATTGTTAAGAATTTTATTATTACTATTTTTTATTATTATTGTCTATTTTTTCAAAAGGTGTTTTTGTTTCATTATTGTGTGAAGTTTGTAACTATATTTCTTTTCTTGTGTGGCAACAATGCTTCTGTAATTCTTCGATTTGTTCTTTTGGATGTGTGCCAAGTTTGATGCCGTAATGCTTTGATGTGAGAGCATCGGCTGTTTTCTGCAGATGAAACACGTTGTTTCAGAGCGTGCTAAAAATATGTAAAATAAACGTTTTGTTTTCTAAACTTGATTATGCAAATGTTATTTTGTTTCAACATAAAAGCATGGCATCCGTTTGACAGGGCGTTTGTGTGATTTCGAGTAGTTTTGATTTAGGCGTTTTACTAAAATGGAATTGTTAAAAGCAAAACGTAAAGTGAACGTACTTCGTTTACGTTAACTACGAAAATTGTGGAAGAACTGCCAACTTGTACCGATCCTGAGAGATTGCAAGTGTTGTTGGGGTAACTGATTGCCAAATTTGAACGCTTGGACAGTATTCAACGCAGTGTTTTAGAACAAACCAAGAAAGCTGATTTTGAGAATGAATTTAATACGACTGAAGTATACAAAGATTCCTTTATAGCTTTGAAGGTGAAACTTCAGAATAAAATTGGACAGTTGAATTTGATTAATGTTACTAGAAATATTGCTTCAGTTTCGATTTCGAATGCTACAGAAAATAAAAACAGAAAGTTCAAACTTCCTAAACTAGAACTTAAAAAATTCTCTGGAAATGCAAGAGAATTTTTAGGCTTGTGGAGACAGTTCTTCAAAATTCATGAAGATGCGGATATTTTTCTAGAAGATAAGTTTTTGTACTTAGTGTAGAGTGCAGTACCTGGGTCCAAGGCAGCTCAACTTTTGAACAGTTTCCCTGTTACCGCCGCGAATTATTCCAAAGCTATCGAGCAGCTGAAGGAAAGATTTGGTAGAGAAGACTTTCTATCAGACAGATTTATGTATGATATTTCCTTAGGCTTGTTACGAAGAATGCTGGCAACTGGCAGAACGGCGTCGGACTTAGGAGTACTTTACAAAAGTATAGAAAGTAAATTACGAGCGCTGGAAAGCTTAGGACACACCAAGGAAACGTTCTTGGGACCTTTAGTAGAGTCGTGCCTACCTGAGAATATTCTACGTGCCTGGGAGAAGAGTCGAACGTCCGAACAAGGACAGAGAAAGAGTTAACTCTTGAAAAACTAATGTGTTTAAGGCATGAAGTAGAATCGGAAGAAATGATTAGATTAGCACAATCAGGATTTACTCATTCTGTTAAGCGTCTTAATAAAAGTCTTATTTCAGGTAATTCAGATTTAGCAACAGCTGCCGCGCTGGTAAGTACAAATGAAACCAGTAAAGGTAAGCAAAATGTTTGTATATTTTGTGGTAAGCCTCATATGAGTGCTAAGTGTTTTAAAGCTGAAAATATGAGCTTAAATGAAAAAGAGGCAACTTGTACAAAAGAAAGGTGTTTTGTTTTCATGTTTAGGAATTGGCCATTTAAAAAACCAATGTAACGCCAATATTAAAGCCCCATTTGCAGTTGTGATCATATAAAATTTATGTGTCCTCAGAAGTGTAGTTCTGTAAAACAAAATGAACTCTAAGTTGGATGTTTCCCTTTCTAATAATAGTAAGAGCGAGAAAGTTTATTTGCAAACTTTATGTGTTCTAATTAAAGTTAAAGATCGAGAGAGAAAAATTAGGATTCTCTTGGATTCGGGATCCCAACGATCATACGTTGGGGAGTAAATTATGAAGCGAATGAAGGCTGATCCTATTCGACAGGAGAAAGTAATTCATGGTTTGTTTGGGGGGAGGGAAACTGCGCCTGTAACCCATTCTGTTTTTTGCTATTGACATAAGCAGTTTTAGATAACACTTTTAGGTGTTGTTTTGAAGCTTTTTCTGAAAAAAAGATATGTGGATTTGTTCCAACAATCAAGAATGCTCAGATTATAGAGGATTGAAAAGCAGGAAAATTGAGGGTCAGTGACACATTTGCGAGGAAGTGAAATTGATTTATTGATAGGTGCAGATGTCATTGGTAAACTGTTAACTGACGAATACCTAGAATTACCCTCTGGTTTAACTGCAGTCAAAACAAAACTGGGTTGGACGGTTATGGGTAAAGAAAATGATACTGTCAGGGATAATGCCCTGATAAGTCTTTCCTTACATGTAAATAATGCTTCTTTGAAATCTTTATGGAGCTTGAAGTTTTTGGGTATTTCCGACCCGACGGAAATAGTAAAATGAAAAATCTTCATTGCGACTACGAGATTGATTTTCAGAATAAATTATCTATTCGGCCCGATGGTAGATATGAATTAGAATTACCCTGGAAATGCGAATCTACCAATTTATCAGATAATAAAAGCATTGCTTTGACACGTCATCAAAAAATGATAAAGAGGGCAAAAGAAAATATTCTTTGAAGGAATATCAAGAAGTGTTTAGAGAGTGGAAAATTTAAATATTATAGAAAAGGTTTCCGGAAAAGGAATTAAACAATAATGCCACTTTTTACCACACAGACCGGTTTATTAAGATGAATAGTGAAAGCCACTAAGGTAAAGACCCGTTTTTGATGCTTCATCTTGTGAAAAGGGAAAACCATCTTTGAATCAGTGTTTATTGAAAGGACCTAATTTATAGAATTAGTCCCTAATATTTAGACAGAATGAGATTTTTTCCTATTGGTCTGAGTGCAGACATAGAGAAGCATTCTTGCAGTTAGGAATTATTTCTCCGAAGGATAGAGATTACTTGCGATTTTTCTATCCAAGTGATGAGGGAGAAATAGTGTATAGGCACTGCAGAGTAGTTTTTTGGGGTTTCCTGCAGCCCTTATCTTCTAGGTGCGTCTATTAAATATCTCTTGGATAATTGTTCATCTGACTTTTTAGATGTGGCTGACAAATTAAAAAATTCGTTCTATGTAGATAATTGTATTACGGGTGTTTTACAATATTGAGGGACAAGAGGATTTAATTCAAAAGGCCAAAAGTCTTATGTCGAGAGGCAGATTTAATTTAAGGGGATGGGAGAGCAATGTTGCTTCCAAATATACTACAAAACATTCTGGGGACACACCTCTTTTAGGAATATTGTGGAATTTAGACAATGATACTTTTAAGGTGTAAATATAAATGTAAATATGATAACTTGTGATACTAAGGTAACTAAGAGACTGATTCTGTCTATTGTACCTCAATTTTTGATCCAATTGGAATACTTGCACCAATAACTTTGCTTCCAAAACTTTTGTTATAAGAAACATGGAAGTTGAAAATTTTTCTTGGGACGAGGTATTGCCTCATGATTTTGTAAGTAAATTTTTTGTGTAGTTATCTGATATACTTTTGTTGAAAAATGTGGCAATACCCCCGATTCATTGGAAACCTTTGCAACAGTTGAATTGCATGTATTTGTCGATGCCTGCAAATATGCTTATGCAGGATGTATTTTCGCGAGAAGTGTTGATTCGTGTAGTGTAAAAATCCGCTCTTAATAGGAGCCACTCTAGATCTTAATAGGAGCTCTTAATAGGATCTTAATAGGAGCCACTTAATAATCTTAATAGGAGCCACTCTAGAAAATGCTTTAGAGTAGGCTCCTATTAATTTTAATTTGACGATTCCTAGATTGGAATTAATGTCCTGGTTGCATTGGATCCCGATTATTATATTCTGTTTGTAAAGCCGCTCTCAATGTTTTTGATATAAATGTA